CTCGATCCCATGACCATGAGACCATGACCTGAGCCGAAGGCAGACGCTTGACGACTGAGCCACCCAGGCACCCCCAAGCATATGTTCTTTTAAAGTTGATGCCAAATCCAGTAACAGGATCATTAAGCTCCGTGACATCCTCCTTCTTTTTTTCCTAAATCAGACTAGCTGGTCTGTACTCCCGTGCTCCTCCATTTGTTGTTATGTCTTCATCCAAGTCCGTGTTGAAGATGCGATTTTTCTGAGATATTCTTGGAATTGTTTTCCAAATGCTTTCTGTGTTGGTCTATTTATTAAGTTCTATTTGAGGACCAGTAATAATGAGCTGCCTTGGGAGCTGTATTTGCTGCCAGGCCACCCGCATTGTGAAAGATGGACAGAGGGGTTCCCCTTGGAGCCCAGGGGAGTCCTGCTGGGGGGCCTGAACCCCACACTAATTATAGCTTCATTTGCTGCGTGCGTGACGGGCACCCGGCTGGCTCTTCATGTACTTTACCCTCTTCAAACCTCATGACCATCTTGGAAGGGTAGGCATTGGCATCCCCATTTCCAGATGAGGAAACCAAGGACCAGAGATTTCAAATAATTTATCCAAGGTCATCCAGAGAGGCCAGATTGAGTGTCCAGATTGGTTTCACGTTTCCAGAAACTTCAGCCATGTAAACTCAAACCGCCAATCTGGAAGAAAACATGGAAATAACTCTTTCCAAATACTTGTACTAAAGCCCAAAGCTTTTGTTTTACATACAGTTTTAGAAACTTGGTTTTCTGGTTCCATAACAGGGAATGGAAGGGGCATGGTAAGAAGCTACTAGAAGGGGCTCATGACCAGCCAGCAACAGGGAGTAAGAACCTGATTGTGGTACCTGGTTAATAACCTGCTGCCAACTGGGCAGTATGGGAGAGAACGAAAAATTTAGAAGCAGACCTGAGTCTTAAAGAAACACAGGAATTTAGGGCCGTTTTCTGTAGGAGTGAAAACCCCATCAGTTGCTGGAGAAGACTTTGCTCTAACAAACCAGATCAATACCTGAGACAGCTTTAAGACTATGCATACACCCTGAGGAGGAACACAGGAACATGAATGAGCATTTATCTTATTTTATTTTATTATTTTATTTA